ACAGCATCGGCAGCGAGCGCAGCAGCGCCTGCCGCACCAATGGCTGCCCCGCGTTCTGCGGGGCAACCTGCTCAGAGCTCTGCGGGACCACCACCTGCTCAGAGTTCAGCGGGGCAACCTGCCCCTGCGTTGGAGGTACCGCCGGAATGCAAGGAATTCTGGGACAGGATGCGCACTTCCAACCACGCGAAGATCAATCCAGCGTATCATCCGCGGATTGACGATGGATCTGATCGATACATGGTGGTGCAGTACAGCGTCATGGACACCGCCGTCCATGCTGACCAAGGTGCACGCACGCGCCGATCAGTGCACAACATCCTTCGGAAACGCCCAGCACTCGACGAAAAATAAAACACACCCCAAACGTAATCAAAACAATAGTACAAAGATAGTCGAGGGGCTATCTTTGGAGCATTTTTGGACCATGTTGGGGCATTCTCTGCATATTTCCATGTTTCGCCCAATGTCCCCCCGTAGGGGGACAGGCCCGACTCAAGCGGAAGTCGCAGTCGCAGTTCCCCGACTTCTGCAGAAACCAGGGCGGAAGTGCGTCTCACCATTTTCGGCGCCCGTCTGTATCGGTGAACCGACCCCCCATCCCCATCGCCCTCCCCTTCGAGACCCCCGCCAGATCGCCGCCCCACGTCGGGGATGCGCCCCTCGAAAAAGCCGAAGGGGACGGCCTATGTCCCCATCTAGGGGGGGTGAATCGGCCAGTGGGGCCCAGGCCACGCCGCTGGGGATGGGGATCGGTTCAACGATACTCGATCCGGGTCGTGTCCTCGGGTTCCACGGCTGTCACGAAAACGGCGCGGGGCGAAACTCCCCCCCCCCGAAAGGACGTCGAGGGGGCGCGGGGTTCACCTGGGGGGCCGTTCGGGCCCCCTTCTGGGCTCTCTTGGCGCCCTCCTCGCGGCCTGGCATGACTCTCTTGTGACCGGGTTGGCAAACATCGATCAAAGAAGGAGAGGTCCTGCAGGGTCCGGCTTGACTAAGGAACGCGTGCTTTTCGGAATGGGCTCGATCGCACCTTTGGTTTGCATGCGTTTTGCTACCTTTTTGGCGGCGGCCCCCCCTGGTGTTTCTTCGGATTCCGTAGATTTACTTGGAACAAAAGCGGCCTCGTTCCTTATTCATCGTTCCTTAGGTCAGGCGGAAACCTGTAGTTAACCCTGCCCCCCTGGAGCGCCAACATCCCCGCGTGGAGCGGGGGAGAATGAAGACGAGGAGGCGAAGGCCTCTCAGGGGCTCTGTTGGGGCTTCCTGGGGACTTGCTGGGGGCCTCTTGAGGGGCTGCGCGGAGCCCCGCGCGGGCCCTCGTAGGGGGCCTTTGGGGGGCCTCTGGGGCAGTCTTCGGGGGGCTGCTGGCCCGCGTGACGCCGTCGGACGCCGCCTTGGGAGCCCCGCTGGGCGGTGTTGGTGCCCTCTGGGAGCGCTTTAGGTGGGACGCACAGAGACACACTGATACGATATGTCCTCCTTGGAGGCGTGCGTCCGACCCGAACATATAGCATGCCCATCTTGTAGCATATCGTTTCGCGAGTGGTGCGGCCAGAACGTGCCCGCCACGACGCACATACGTGGCACCCCGCAGTTGCGGATAAGAGTGAGGGGGCAGCGGGGACGTCGGCAGTATGCGAGGCTTTGAAGAAGCCTACCACAGGCGCAGAATTTTCAAGCTATACAACGTGCCCGCAGCATGCGCCGATTTGTTGTTAAAACCTTGTCGGTGGGCCGCGGGTTGGGTCGCAAGTGGGTCGCTGGTGGGTCGACGGTGGGTCGTGGGTCCGGTCGCGGGTGGGTCGCGGGTGGGTCGTGGGTGGGTCGCGGGTGGGTCGCGGGTGGGTCGCGAGCGGGTCGCGGGGTGGGTCGCGGGTGGGTCGCGGTTGGGTCGCGGGGTTGGTCGCGGGTGGGTCGCGAGGTGGGTCGCGGGTGGGTCGCGGGCCGGGTCCCGGGGGAGACGACGACAACAACAACAATCATTTTAAGACTGTTCTCTCTCAAGCAATATCCTCACCACGGATCCGCACTTCAGCCACGCACTCAGGGACAATGAGTGACCGTTCGGCCCCCTCATTCTGACCATAAGATGTCTCGGTGCGCGCGTCGCCCCTGGGGGGGCGGCGCACATATAGGATAAGTATCTTGGGGCGACGCCGATTGGGGCCTTCCTGGGGCCCTTTTGGGAGGCGCTCGGACGATCTTGGGTCCTGCTGGGCCGACCTCGCGCATCTTTACGGGGCCTCATCGGCTGTCCTGGGGCCGTCTCGGAGGCCGCCTCTCTGCGGCCGGGGGCCCGAACGGCCGAGAGCCTCAGAGCCAGTGGCACACCGCACTGCGGTGGATGCAAAGTTCTCTGAAGTTTCAGACGGGCATCGCGCGGGGCAGAGGGGGCTGGTCGACGCGCTCGCGCGTTCGGCGTTCGGTCCACGATGGGCTGATTGCCGGGGACCGGCACGGTTGGTTGGTTGGAGTAAGTTGTCTGTTCTTGGAGGAGCAAGGCGACGGCGACGACGATTCAACCAGACAGGCTTTCGCTGATGCAGGCCTTTCGTCCTGTTAGCCTCTTGGAGCCCCCTTTGGGCTATGTCGGGGACCGTTGAGGCCAACTTGTGGCTCTCTTGGGGCCCTCTTGGGACCAGCCTGGAAAACATCGACTAAACAAGGAGAGGTCCTTGTGAGCCCTGCCCCCCTGGAGAGCCAACATCTCCGCGTGAAGCGGGAAAACATGAAGACAAGGAGGAGAAGGCCTCTCAGGGGCTCTCTGGCTGGGGGCTTCCTCGGGACCTGCTAGGGGCCTCTTTGGGGCCTCTTGAGAGCCTTTTGGGGGCCTCTTGGGACCTCTTAGGCAGTCTTAGGGAGCTCTTGGCGCGTGTGACGCCGTGTTGGAGGCCTCTCTGGGCCCTCTTGATGCCCTCTTGGAGCGCTTTCAGGCCGTCTTGGGGCCCTCATGCGAGACTCTTGGGCGATCTTGGGGTCCTGTTGGGCCGACTTGGGGCCCCTCTTTCGAGGCTTCATGGGCTGTCTTGGAGCTATCTTGGAAGCATCTTGGGCCGGCTTGGATGGTCGGAAACCCAGAGGCGAGAGCTTCAACATCATTGAACAATCGAACGACAATCAATGCTTGTTGCCTCCTCGGGGGCCTCTTGGAGCCTCTGGGGGACGACGTCGTCTTGGGGGAATCTTTTGGGGCCTCTGGCGTCAGGGCCACCGCACGTGCGTCACCGTCGACGAACGAACACAAACCGCAAGGGACAGGCGAAGCGGGTAGGAGGACCAGGAGGCCTAAGGGGCGCCATAGGACATCGGAAGCGGCGGTGGCGGGGCCGGTCCTCGAAACCAGTAGCGGCGGCTTCGGAGAGGGGGGAGGGGGGGGGAAATCTCCCAAAGAGGCGCCACAGGAGGAATGTGCACCACTGCCGTCCACGAGGGGGGGGGAGGGAGTTCCGCCCCTTCTCCGCCGCCTCCTCCTGTCCCTTACTCCCTCTCCTTCTCTGTCTCAGTACTCCCCTCGTCGTCCCCTCCTCCTTCGCCTCTCCCCTCCTCGTCGCTCCCTCCTCCTTCGCCTTTCCCCTTCCTTTCCGCGCCCCCCCCCAAAAAACGCCACCCCAGAATCACCCGTACTGGCCACTTGAGGTTTCTTGGGCCGTCTTAGGGGTTTCTTGGCCTTTCCTCTGACGCCGTCGGATACCGTCTTGGTTGGGGGCATGTCTGGCCCTCTTGGCGCCCTCTTGGGGACCTTTACGACCCTCTCGGTAGACTCCCGCGCGATCTTTGGGCCCTCTGGGGCCGATTCGGGGCCTTCTTGGGGTGCGTCCTGGGCTATATTGGAGCTATCTTGAGAGCCTCTTGGATGCCTCTTGGGCCGTCTTGGGCGGTCGAAGCTCCAGACAGGCGAGAGCCTCAACATCTATCAATTATCCGGGCGAAGGGCAACCACATGCACTTGTGGGTGCCGCGTTGTGGCACCGCTTTCGGTGGAGCTCCCTATGAGGCCACGAGGCGTGCTAGGAGTGTGCCGAAATGGGCGGGGAACCGCATGCGAACCCCGCCACTGATGCAAACGTTGGAGCTCCCTATGGGGCCACGAAGCGTGTGGGGGGTGTGCCGGTATGGGCGGGACACCGCATGATAACCTTGCCATTGGGCTTTCCCTACGGGCCGCGATGTGTGTGTGTGTGTGTGTGTGTGTGTGTGTGTGGGTGGGGGGGGGCCGACATGGGCGGGGAACCGCGTGCGAACTTTGCCACTGAGGCCGTCGGTGAGGGGTGTGCCGAAGTGGGCGGGGAACCGCATGCGAGCTTTGCCACTGGGGCCTTCAGTAGCCCCCTGAGGGGCCTCAGGACGTGTGGGGGCGTTCTGAAATGTGCTGGGAACCGCATGCGATCTGTGCCACTGGTGCCTTCGGTGGGACTCCCCATGGGGCCACGAAACGTGTGAGGGGTGTGCCGAAACAGTGGCGCGCGGAGGGGAAAGGCAGGTGATCGGAGGAGGGAGGGCGAGGAGGAGGAAGTAGGAGAGGGGACCGGGGGCGTTGTCTCTTCAAAACGAGGACCCAACACCACATGACGGTCGGGAAACAACTTCGTAGACAACAGACGAGCATTCTAACGCCCGCTCCGTGCAGGCACGGTGGCGGATACTCAACACAGGACCCTCAATGATCTGGAGACACCACAAAGCCCAACAAGCTGGGCCATCATGGGGCGCCCCCAATAAGGCCCCTCCCCATTGCGCACCGGGGCAAGAACCGGACATCCCAACAAACTTGACCATCTTAAGGCACGCTGGACCCCCGTCGGCCACATCGCGCCGCGGGCTTCCTGGGGTTGGCCAGAATCGTCCGTTCTGGCGTCATTTGGCTGGGGGGAAGAGAGGATGACGTCGACGACGTGGAGGCTCATCCGCAGCGACCAGCTCAAGTTTTCGTCACGATTTACCCGCTCTGTTCCGCACGTCGCTTCCGCGAGCCTCCTCTGGCCTTCCTGCGAGCGGCCATGGCGTTCGGCAGCTCCCTCCGATTGCTCCTGCTGCCGATCCCGCTGAGCCTGGGCTTCAACAGGACGGCGACCAAGAGGCAGCTTCGGGGCCTCCTCTCCGAGACGATCTACTGCAACCCCTACCTGCAGCAGATGTGCCCCCCAGGTGACGTGGCGTGCCCGCAGTGCGGTTCGGACAGGTGCGAATGCCCCGGCAGCCCAGGTCCGAGCCCCAGCCCAGACACCAAGTGCAGCTGGGAGGAGCACAGGAACAGCGACGGCAACAATTTGCTGCAAGCTCCCTGGTCCCAGGACCCGCAGGCGTGCTGCAACCACTGCGGCGAGCAGTCGGGGTGCGCGGCGTGGACCTTCATTCAGGGCAGCCACGAGTGCTGGTTGAAGAGCTGGGTGCCGTCTAGGGACCAGTGGCGCTGGGACGACTCGGCCATCAGCGGCCAAATCGGGGCGCCGAGCCTCCAGGCGGCCCTTGATGCGCCAAGCAACAGTTCGCTCCAGGGCCTCCTCTCCGAGACGATCTACTGCAACCCCTACCTGCAGCAGATGTGCCCCCCAGGTGACGTGGCGTGCCCGCAGTGCGGTTCGGACAGGTGCGAGTGCCCCGGCAGCCCAGGTCCGAGCCCCAGCCCAGACACCAAGTGCAGCTGGGAGGAGCACAGGAACAGCGACGGCAACAATTTGCTGCAAGCTCCCTGGTCCCAGGACCCGCAGGCGTGCTGCAACCACTGCGGCGAGCAGTCGGGGTGCGCGGCGTGGACCTTCATTCAGGGCAGCCACGAGTGCTGGTTGAAGAGCTGGGTGCCGTCTAGGGACCAGTGGCGCTGGGACGACTCGGCCATCAGCGGCCAAATCGGGGCGCCGAGCCTCCAGGCGGCCCTTGATGCGCCAAGCAACAGCTCGCTCCAGGGCCTCCTCTCCGAGACGATCTACTGCAACCCCTACCTGCAGCAGATGTGCCCCCCAGGTGACGTGGCGTGCCCGCAGTGTGGTTCGGACAGGTGCGAGTGCCCCGGCAGCCCAGGTCCGAGCCCCAGCCCAGACACCAAGTGCAGCTGGGAGGAGCACCGGAACAGCGACGGCAACAATTTGCTGCAAGCTCCCTGGTCCCAGGACCCGCAGGCGTGCTGCAACCGCTGCGGCGAGCAGTCGGGGTGCGCGGCGTGGACCTTCATTCAGGGCAGCCACGAGTGCTGGTTGAAGAGCTGGGTGCCGTCTAGGGACCAGTGGCGCTGGGACGACTCGGCCATCAGCGGCCAAATCGGGGCGCCGAGCCTCCAGGCGGCCGTTGATGCGCCAAGCAACAGCTCGCTCCAGGGCCTCCTCTCCGAGACGATCTACTGCAACCCCTACCTGCAGCAGATGTGCCCCCCAGGCGACGTGGCGTGCCCGCAGTGTGGTTCGGACAGGTGCGAGTGCCCCGGCAGCCCAGGTCCGAGCCCCAGCCCAGACACCAAGTGCAGCTGGGAGGAGCACAGGAACAGCGACGGCAACAATTTGCTGCAAGCTCCCTGGTCCCAGGACCCGCAGGCGTGCTGCAACCACTGCGGCGGGCAGTCGGGGTGCGCGGCGTGGACCTTCATTCAGGGCAGCCACGAGTGCTGGTTGAAGAGCTGGGTGCCGTCTAGGGACCAGTGGCGCTGGGACGACTCGGCCATCAGCGGCCAAATCGGGCGCCGAGGCAGGCGGCCCTTGATGCGCCAAGCAACAGCTCGCTCCAGGGCCTCCTCTCCGAGACGATCTACTGCAACCCCTAATTACCTGCAGCAGATGTGCCCCCCAGACGTGGCGTGCCCGCTGTGGTTCGGCCAGGTGCGAGTGCCCCGGCAGCCCAGGTCCGAGCCCCAGCCCAGACACCAAGTGCAGCTGGGAGGAGCACAGGAACAGCGACGGCAACAATTGCTGCAAGCTCCCTGGTCCCAGGACCCGCAGGCGTGTTGCAACCGCTGCGGCGAGCAGTCGGGGTGCGCGGCGTGGACCTTCATTCAGGGCAGCCACGAGTGCTGGTTGAAGAGCTGGGTGCCGTCTAGGGACCAGTGGCGCTGGGACGACTCGGCCATCAGCGCCAATCGGGGCGCCGAGCCTCCAGGCGGCCCTTGATGCGCCAAGCAACAGCTCGCTCCAGGGCCTCCTCTCCGAGACGATCTACTGCAACCCCTACCTGCAGCAGATGTGCCCCCCAGGCGACGTGGCGTGCCCGCAGTGTGGTTCGGACAGGTGCGAGTGCCCCAGCAGCCCAAGTCCGAGCCCCAGCCCAGACACCAAGTGCAGCTGGGAGGAGCACAGTGAACAGCGACGGCAACAATTTGCTGCAAGCTCCCTGGTCCCAGGACCCGCAGGCGTGCTGCAACCACTGCGGCGGGCAGTCGGGGTGCGCGGCGTGGACCTTCATTCAGGGCAGCCACGAGTGCTGGTTGAAGAGCTGGGTGCCGTCTAGGGACCAGTGGCGCTGGGACGACTCGGCCATCAGCGGCATACTGGGAGGTCGGTGAGCTTCTGCAGTCTGGGTGTGGCTTGCGCACGCACAATACTGCAACCGTGCTGGTTCATCTGGTCCGACACCGTCTGTTGGCGTGCCAGGCTTGCCAGTGCCAATAGAGCGCTGGAAGTACAGTGTGCATGGTTGAGGAGGCGCTCCGCCGTCTGCGCCCCCCCTCGTTGAAAGTTCCGGTTGCCTTTGGCACGTCTTGCCATTTCCCGCCACGTCGCGTTGACATTGCCATCATCCCATCCAGGACCTATGTTCAGGTTTGTGGAGAGACTTCAAGTTGATGACCACATGGAGGAGCGAAGGGGTCAACAATCGTCAATTGACGCGTCGCGTATCCCCATTCGCCCAGACAGCAGCGATGTCCAGGCGAGTCGCCTTGACCAGGGAGGCGTAGAAGCATGCAGTGCAAGAAAGAAGGAGAAGAAGCCGTCAAAACGAATTTTTGGATCAGCCTGAGCATACCCGTGAGTGCACCTAATATGTGTTCGCGGGCCTGTCGAACGAGGGGAAGCAGGGGGACAAGGATAAGGATAACAATACTAATAATCATAATGATGATGATGATGATGATGATGATGATGATGATGATGATGATGATGATGATGATGATGATGATGATGATGCTGATGCTGATGCTGATGATACTGATGATGACGATGCAGATTCCAATGATACTGCTGCTAATGATGATGCTGATAGTGAGTATGATGATGAAGATGGCAATGGCGATGGCAATGGCGATGGCGATGGTGATGATGATGCTGATTTTGACGGTGATGATGATGACGACAACGATGATGATGACGATGATGGTAAACATGATGACTAGGACGAGGATGATGAGAATGATGATGATGATGATGATGATGATGATGATGATGATGATGATGATGCTGATGATGATGATGATGATGATGATGATGGTGGGGAAGGCGATTGTTCGGATGATGAGGACGATGATCATGATGATGCTGATGCTGTTGTTGCTTCTCATGATGCTGCTGATTGATGATGGTGATGCTGATGCTGCTGATGATGCTGATGATGGTATCGTCCACGATGGTGCTGAATATGCTGCTGCAGATGATGTTGATCATGATGACGACGGCGATGGTGATGATGATGGCGATGCTGATCATGATGATGGCTATGGCTATGTTGATCATGCGGATTATGGTAAAGACGGTGACGGTGATGATGAGGTTTCTGATGATGCTGATGATGGTGTTGGTGACCCTGATGAGAATGATGATGGTGATCATGACGATAATGGTGTTAAGGAAGAGGAGGAAAATAAGACGGAACGAGGATGAGAAGGATGAACAAGAGGAACCAGGATGGAAAAAGGATCAGGAGGATGAGGAGGACGAGCGGACGGAATATGAGCTTGACATAAAACGCCCCCCACTGAATTTATTTGGACTCTTAGGTGGGAGGAGGAGGAGGAGGAGGAGGAGGAGGAGGAGAGAAAAACGAGGAGGAGGAGGAGGAGGAGAAACCTGTTGGAGGAGGAGGAGGAAAAAGGAGGAGAACGAGGGGGAGTTTGAAGACGAGGATCCGAGAGGAAAAAGGCGACGGCGACGACAACGACGATTCAACCAGAAAAGGCCTTCGCTGATTCAGACCTGTCGTCCTGTTAGCCTCTTGGAGCCCTCTTGGGGCCCTCTGTGGGCTATTTCGAGGTCCGTTGAGGCCATCTTGTGGCTCTCTTGGGGCCGTCTTGGGACCAGCTTGGAAACCATCGATCGAAAAAGGAAAGGTCCTTGTGAACCCTGCCCCCCTGGAGCGCCAACATATCCGCGTGAAGTGGGAGAACATGAAGACATGGAGGAGAAGGCCTCTCAGGGGCTCTCTGGGGGTTTCCCGGGGACCTGCTACGGGCCTCCTTGGGCCTTTTGAGGGCCTGTTTTAGGGGGGCTCTTGGCGCGTGTGACGCCGTCGGAGGCCGTCTTGGGGGCCTCTCTGGGCCCTCTTGATGCCCTCTTGGGGCGCTTTAAGGCCGTCTTGGGGCCCTCATGCGAGACTCTTGGGCGATCTTGGGGTCCTGTTGGGCCGACTTGGGGCCCTCTTTGGGGGCTTCATGGGCTGTTTTGGAGCTATATTGGAGGCATCTTGGGCCGGCTTGGATGGTCGGAAACCCAGAGGCGAGAATGTCAACATCATTGAACAATCGAACGGCAATCAATGCTTGTTGCCTCCTCGGGGGCCTCTTGGAGCCTCTGGGGGACGACGTTTTGGGGGAGTATTTTGGGGCCTCTGGCGTCAGGGCCACCGCAGGCGCACCGCCGTCGACGAAGACAAAGAAAAAACGCAAGGGACAGGCAAAGGGGGGAGGAGGACCAGGAGGCCTAAAGGGCACCATAGGACATCGGACGCGGCGGTGGCGGACTCGAAAGCGAGCTGAGGGACGTAAGGAGTGGAAGCGAGCGTGCGCCCGCCGCCGCGTCGGCTCAAGCGGCCGGCCGCCCAAATTTGACTGTGCTTCACCGCGAGGCACACAATCGTTATTGAGACCAACAGGATCTTCCTATTGCTTGAGATGGCATCTCCTCTCATACTGGGACTATCGTTACTACGGTACAACAGAGCAGGAGTTTGGCTTCGCCTGAGGCGAAGCTGTTGGCTGGGCCTTCCAGCCCCCTTCAAACTTGGTAGCGGAGCTGGCCTATGGTGGTCAGTTCTGACTCTAGTCCTCACCATCCACGGCGCTATCTGGTGGACTACGGATATGGTGGAACATCAGGGTGCAGTGGGATTGCGCGGAGGAGTGTACATAACTACGCAGTACCGCAAGGAAAGTTGCAGCGATACCTCTGTCCCAGCGGAGGTCCCTTACTCACATCTTATATCCCTGCGCTATTTCACTCCTGAAGTCCACCCACCTACTCCGATTGGAAATTTCTTCGAAGATATAATGCATGGAAACATGCGATACGATATACTGCCGCGTCCGAACCCACGCATACTTACGACTACAAAGCATAAGTCCCCACCGACTACACCCGACTACGACCAACGAGGCCACTGGATTGGGGATACTATCTTTGGGCTCATATGTTTTGCTATCTGGTGTGCGGTAGGACATGCGGGGCGGAGACGACACTAGAACGACTGGCCGCCAGTGAGACCCTGCGGGTCAAGTACCATTTCGCGAGTTCGTCCGCGAAGTACATGCCTGGATCAATGTGACCACAGGCAACATGACGCCCTCCCAGCAGGCCGCCGCATTGCAGCGCGATTTTGGAGGTCTCGCGCGGACCATAGCCATGAACGCCCCCCCAACAGTCATTGATTTTGGCGTCAATATAGGCGGTCGCCGCACTGACGGCGTCACCTACATTATGTTCCTCTTAAGTACGAAGTCCGAGAACCTAGAAGTGGAACGCCAACTCAATTCTGGCACGGCTCTCATTGACTTTCGAGTCCATGCGGTTTACGTACCGACCAGACGTTAGCACGGCTCGCAATAGCCCGCTACGAAGCTGAAACCGCTGGCTTCAACATCCCCAACTTCCGAATTTTAACATGTATTCTATTCAGAGCTCTTGGAGTGGGGACGTCGCGTGCGCAGAGACTCCTGCAGCCTCTGAACCACTGCGCGCCGAGGGACCAACCGCAATTTGACGCTCTACTTGAACGTATGAGGTCATATGCTCACATAGCTGAGAGGACCCCTGGCAATATTGGCGGTATCTTTAGCCGCGGTCACCGAACCGAGACTGTCCACGCAGAGGCCAACGCAGGGCAACCTGCCAACAACGTCTGGAATGACGATACACAGCCAACTCAGACCACTACACTGTTGGCTCAGAATGGTGGAACGGCTCCGGGGTCGCAAGTCCCCTGAGCCAGATCTGGGGGGCCGCTCGACTCGGCTTCCCCTATGCAAGCTATGACTCTAATGGGCTCAGCGGTCTTCCGATGATGAAGTTGCCGCCTGGGATTGCGCTGATATGCCTGCATGCCTTACGGAAGAGCAGCAAGCCCAATGTTTATTTTTGGGCTATAAAAAACACAAGCGTCGTTGGCGGAGGTTCATGAAGAAACCAGTCCGAAAGGGGAAGACGTATTGTACGACGGTCACGTAAAGGAATAGGCATGGGTCGAAGTGAAGGTAAAGGTAAGCGTCGGCGACTACATGGTCGAGGCGCACTAGCATTCCTAGTGTCTCTCATTGGACCTCAGCATGAGGAAATGTTTTTAGGTACTGGCAGAGACCGCAGGCATACATCGGGCAAAGGTAAACGACAACGAGGAAACCCAAATGATGCCAACGTTAAAACCATGGAGTGCGACATAGGTCACAGCGCACAACATATCCGACTCGAGTGCCCCCAAGGTGATGGACGAGGCAGGGGTCCGTCAGTGCATCTGGCTCAACCGGACTCCGACATACCGTAGGTTGATTGGGGGTCGCTTCTAGCCGACCTTGCCGACGGCTCAGCCTTGCTTGTTCATTTCATGTCTGCCAGGTATCTAAGTGCCAGCATGACCCTCGAGAAATGCGCCGATGAGCTGTTCGAGGATGTGTTCACTGGACACGGCGACATCGACGTGGCAGAGTGGCTGGGTGTACCCATCGCGGGGCAGCCTGCAGATTGAGTTTGTCGAGGACTTCCAGATGCCCGCGAAGATGATTTTGGCATGGCGGGGACACCCGTGGACTCATATTCTACCACTGTTTCGACAGATGAGGAAACGCATGCAATGCTTTATCATCGGGCAATTGGAAATCCGACATACGCGGAATTAATCGATGATGATCCACTGCGGGGAAGCCCGCGTGACGCTGGTGATCTGTCTGAGCGTGTTCAATATGAGCTTGGGCGTAATGAAGAATGTCAGTGTACTTCTGTTGCGTCAGATCGGTCCGCCAGTAGCCGGAGATGATCGCCGCGCCGCCTACCCTTGATAAGGGAGAGATACCATGACGATACAGGTCTCTCCCCCATGGGCGAGGAGGACGAATGGGGAGACGATGGCCGCGTGATGCGTCGCGGTCGAGCTCCCCGCCCCTCACCAGATCGTGCGCGAGCCCGCTCTAGCGGTGCTCGTTCGAGCGGTGGTCAGCGCCCTCATCCTCCTGATGCGGGGGCCGCGAGGGGCCCGCCACGGCAGGCGACAAGAGCGCATGCACCCCCATGGAAGGACCGTCTGCGGGGAGACCCGCCTCATGATGACCAACATCGAGGAGGAGAATATCCAGGAGGTGAAGTGCAGCGTTTGAGAGGCCACACTGAAGCTGGACTGGCTCGTCAGCACATGCCCGCAAACCAGATGGAATACTGGTTGGAAAGGGGTTGGGCCGAGCGTCGCATCCGGCACTGGTATTCTCTTCGTCAGTGCAAACGAGACGATGCAGGTATTATCATTCGTTCAGAGGCGGGGCAAACCGAATCGCAGGAAAAGATGGTCAAGCGCGATCTCAAAAGGGCCACCATCGAGGATCGAAAGCTCTACAGAGGCGTTTGCTGCACATGCCCCAGTTATGCTGATCACTGGCTCGGCTGCCCCATGAGACGCTCATCAAGAAGCCCGAATTTCAAAAGGACACCGTGGGTTTGGTCTCATGGGGATGGTCGGTCTCGCTGTGCTGACCTCAGCATTGCGCCATATCTTAAGCGGCTGGCGGAAAACGATTCGGACCGGAGAGATAGCTCAGACATATGCCATTTGGCAGAACTTGATACCTACTCACCCTTTGGCGCAGTTCAATCGCGGGCGGCACGCGGGGAGACCTGCTGATCCTAAATCAGATGGTGAAGGCCAACAAAAGCTGGTGAATATGAAGATGATGAAATGGCTGAAGAAGTTGATCCTGTGAACGACGCGCGTGATGCGGATGCTCCGATCGACCCCGAGGGCGCTGTCACAAGAGATATGGATCTATCTCCCGGGAGGCATATTGTTTACCGTGCTCAGTTTATTGGTTGGATAAAGACACGCATCGTCGGACGACGGAACGCCGATAAGTACTTAGTTGCGCAGAAAACAATGCACCTATTAAGAATATGGCCCTCAGGAAGCCAGGTGGCATCGATCTGACTCCTGACCGAGGTCCTATGCGATTTGCACTTGGGGCGCCGGCAGGAGCTACGGCAAAGGCAACTCCCACGCCGAAGCCAGGGATGATCGATCTTCCCTCGTCTTCTGATTCATCATGCCAATCTTTTGGCCCTGGTCATCTTCAGCTCAAGGGAAAGAAGAGGTGGGGCCCAGATGATCCCAACCCTGGGGGCAGCAAGCAGCAACGACATGCGGGGCAACCTGCTGATCGACAGCATTCCAGAGGGCCAGCAGCGGCCGCCGCAGCAGCTAGAATTCAGGGCACCAGTACGCCTACTCCAAAAGAACTTGTGCCACGTCGCGGCCCTGCACCACGTCGGACGCACGGGGCAGGGTGGGCGCCTGCGCTGGAAGGGAGGACACGGGGCGCTTCCTCCACGCAACGCACTGAGGAGCTACTTGCTACCACGCCAAAGGTGCCAGGAGCAGTGCCCAGAGATAAGACTGCCGAGTCCTACAACATCCAGGAGAAGAAGCACCAGGACTTCGATATCAGTACCCCGCAAGGAACTCCAAGGACGCCCAGAGGATCTGTGGGCGCTACCGCATCGGCAGCGAGCGCAGCAGCGCCTGCCGCGCCAATGGCTGCCCCACGTTCTGCGGGGCAACCTGCTCAGATTTCTGCGGGGCAACCTGCCCAGAGCTCAGCGGGGCGTTGGAGGTACCTCCGGAATGTGAGGAGTTCTGGGACAGGATGCGCACTTCCCACCGCACGAAGATCAATCCAGCGTATCACCCGCGGATTGACGATGGATATGATCGATGCATGGTGGTGCAGTGCGTCGTCATGGACATTTGTGTCCATGCTGACCAAGGTGCACGCACGCGCCAAACAGTGCGCAACATCCCGCAGAAACGCCCAGCGTTCGACGAAACAAAATACCCGAAAAAAATCAAAACATCGTCCAAAGATAGTCGAGGGATTATTTTTGGAGTATGTTTTGATCATTTTGGGGCATACATTTTCATCTTTCGCCCAAAATGCCCCTGTAGGGGGACAGGCCCGACTTAAGCGAAAGCCTCAGTTCCCCGACTTCTGCAGAAGCCAGGGCGGAAGTGCGTCTCGCCATTTTCGGCGGCCGTCGGCATCGGTGAACCGACCCCCCTCCCCATCGCCCTCCCCTTCGAGACCCCCGCCAAATCCCCTCCCCACGTTGGGGATGCGCCCCTCGAAAGCCGAAGCCGGGCCGCGCCGCTGGGGATGGGGATCGGTTGAGCGATACTCGATCCGGGTGCTGCCCTCGGGCTCCGAGGCTAACACAAAAACGACCCGGGGCGAAACGCCGCCCCCCGAAAAGACGTCGAGGGGGTGCGGGGTTCGCATCTCGGGGGCCGTTCGGGCCCCCTCAGGGCTCTCTTGGCGCCCTCCCTGCGGCCTGGCATGACTCTCTTGTGACCGGGCTGGCAAACATCGATCAAAAAAGTTGAGGTCCTGCAGGGTCCGGCTTGACTAAGGAACGCGTGCTTTTCGAAAAGGGGCTCGATCGTACCTCGGGTTTGCATGCGTTCTGCTACCTTTTTGGCGGCGGCCCCCCCCTGGTGTTTCTTCGGACTCCGTAGACTTACTTTGAACAAAAGCGGCCTCGTTTCTTATTTATCGTTCCTTAGGTCAGGCCGAATCCTGTAGTTAACGCTGCCCCCCTGGAGCGCAAACATCCCCGCGTGGAGCGGGGGAGAATGAAGACAAAGAGGCGAATGCCTCTCAGGGGCTCTGTTGGGGTTTCCTGGGGACCTGTTGGGGGCCTGTGGAGGGGCCGCGCGGAGGCCCACGCGGGCCCTCGTAGGGGGCCTCTTGGGGGCCTCCGGGGCAGTCTTCGGGGGGCTGCTGGCCCGCGTGACGCCGTCGGATGCCGCCTTGGGGGCCCCGCTGGGCTGTGCTGGTGCCCTCTTGGCACGCATTAGGTGGGACGCACAGAGACATACTGATACGATATGTCCTCCTTGGAGGCGCGCGTCCGACCCGATATATATATATATATATATATATATATACATAATGCCCATATTGTAGAATACCGTTTCGCGAGCGGTGCGGCCAGAAAGTGCCCGCCACGACGCATATACGCAGCACCCCGCAGTTGCGGATAAGAGTGAGGGGCAGCGGGGACGTCGGCAGTATGCGAGGCTTTGCAGAAGCCTGCCGCAGGCGCAATATTTTCAAGCTAAACAACGAGCCCGCCTCATGCGCCGATTTTTTGTTAAAAACATTGTCGTTTTTTTGTTCTCCCCTTCTTGGCGTTTTTTTTTCTCCCCCTTCTCCCCCCCCAAAGAGGCGCCACAGGAGGAATGTGCACAACTGCCGTCCACGAGGGGGGGGAGGGAGTTCCGTCCCTTCTCCGCCGCCTCCTCCTGTCCTTTACTCCCTCCCCTTCTCTGTCTCAGTACTCCCCTCGTCGTCCCCTCCCTCGCCTCTCCTCTCCTCGTCGCTCCCTCCTCCTTCGCCTTTCCCCTTCCTTTCCGCGCCCCCGCAAAAACGCCACCCCAGAATCACCCGTACTGGCCACTTGAGGTTTCTTGGGTCGTCTTAGGGGATTCTTGGCCTTTCCTCTGACGCCTTCGGATATCGTCTTGGTTGGGGGCATGTCTGGCCCTCTTGGCGCCCTCTTAGGGACCTTTACGACCCTCTCGGTAGACTCCCGCGCGATCTTTGGGCCCTCTGGGGCCGATTCGGGGCCTTGTTGGGGTGCGTCCTGGGCTATATTGGAGCTATCTTGAGAGCCTCTTGGATGCCTCTTGGGCCGTCTTGGGCGGTCGAATCTCCAGACAGGCGAGAGCCTCAACATCTATCAATGATCCGGGCGAAGGTCAACCCTATGCACTTGTGGGTGCCGCGTTGTGGCACCGCTTTCGGTGGAGCTCCCTATGAGGCCACGAGGCGTGCTAGGAGTGTGCCGAAATGGGCGGGGAACCGCATGCGAACCCCGCCACTGATGCAAACGTTGGAGCTCCCTATGGGGCCACGAAGTGTGTGAGGGGTGTGCCGGTATGGGCGGGAAACTTCATGATAACTTTGCCACTGGGCTTTCGGTGGGGCTCCCTACGGGGCCGCGAAGCGTGTGGGGTGTGTGCCGACATGGGCGGGGAACCGCGTGCGAACTTTGCCACTGAGGTCGTCGGTGAGGGGTGTGCCGAAGTGGGCGGGGAACCGCATGCGAGCTTTGCCACTGGGGCCTTCAGTAGCCCCCCGTGGGGCCTCGGGACGTGTGGGGGTGTACTGAAATGTGCTGGGAACCGCATGCGATCTGTGCCACGGGTGCCTTCGGTGGGGCTCCCTATGGGGCCACGAAGCGTGTGAGGGGTGTGCCGAAACAGTGGCGCGCGGAGGGGAAAGGCAGGGGATCGGAGGAGGGAGGGCGAGGAGGAGGAAGGAGGAGAGGGGACCGGGGGCGGTGTCTCTTCAAAACGAAGACCCAGCACCACATGATGGTCGGGAAACAATTTCGTAGACAACAGGCGAGCATTCTAACGCCCACTCCGTGCAGGCACGGTGGCGGATACTCAACACAGGACCCTCAATGATCTGGGGACCCAACAGAGCCCAACAAGCTGGGCCATCATGGGGCGCCCGCAATAAGGTCCCTCCCCATTGCGCACCAGGGCAAGAACCAGACATCCCAACAAACTTGACCATCTTAAGGCACGCTGGACCCCCGTTGGCCACATCGCGCCGCGGGCTTCCTGGGGTTGGCCAGAATCGTCCGTTCTGGCGTCATTTGGCTGGGGGGGAAGAGAGGATGACGTCGACGACGTGGAGGCTCATCCGCAGCGACCAGCTCAAGTTTTCGTCACGATTTACCCGCTCTGTTCCGCACGTCGCTTCCGCGAGCCTCCTCTGGCCTTCCTGCGATCGGCCATGGCGTTCGGCAGCTCCCTCCGATTGCTCCTGCTGCAGATCCCGCTGAGCCTGGGCTTCAACAGGACGGCGCCCAAGAGGCAGCTTCGGGGCCTCCTCTCCGACACGATCTACTGCAACCCTTACCTGCAGCAGATGTGCCCCCCAGGTGACGTGGCGTGCCCGCAGTGTGGTTCGGACAGGTGCGAGTGCCCCGGCAGCCCAGGTCCGAGCCCCAGCCCAGACACCAAGTGCAGCTGGGAGGAGCACGTGAACAGCGACGGCAACAATTTGCTGCAAGCTCCCTGGTCCCAGGACCCGCAGGCGTGCTGCAACCACTGCGGCGAGCAGTCGGGGTGCGTGGCGTGGACCTTCATTCAGGGCAGCCACGAGTGCTGGTTGAAGAGCTGGGTGCCGTCTAGGGACCAGTGGCGCTGGGACGACTCGGCCATCAGCGGCCAAATCGGGGCGCCGAGCCTCCAGGCGGCCGTTGATGCGCCAAGCAACACTTCGCTCCAGGGCCTCCTCTCCGAGACGATCTACTGCAACCCCTACCTGCAGCAGATGTGCCCCCCAGGCGACGTGGCGTGCCCGCAGTGTGGTTCGGACAGGTGCGAGTGCCCCGGCAGTCCAGGTCCGAGCCCCAGCCCAGACACCAAGTGCAGCTGGGAGGAGCACGTGAACAGCGACGGCAGCAATTTGCTGCAAGCTCCCTGGTCCCAGGACCCGCAGGCGTGCTGCAACCACTGCGGCGAGCAGTCGGGGTGCGTGGCGTGGACCTTCATTCAGGGCAGCCACGAGTGCTGGTTGAAGAGCTGGGTGCCGTCTAGGGACCAGTGGCGCTGGGACGACTCGGCCATCAGCGGCCAAATCGGGGCGCCGAGCCTCCAGGCGGCCGTTGATGCGGCAAGCAACAATTCGCTCCAGGGCCTCCTCTCCGAGACGATCTACTGCAACCCCTACCTGCAGCAGATGTGCCCCCCAGGTGACGTGGCGTGCCCGCAGTGCGGTTCGGACAGGTGCGAGTGCCCTGGCAGCCCAGGTCCGAGCCCCAGCCCAGACACCAAGTGCAGCTGGGAGGAGCACAGGAACAGCGACGGCAACAATTTGCTGCAAGCTCCCTGGTCCCAGGACCCGCAGGCGTGCTGCAACCACTGCGGCGAGCAGTCGGGGTGCGTGGCGTGGACCTTCATTCAGGGCAGCCACGAGTGCTGGTTGAAGAGCTGGGTGCCGTCTAGGGACCAGTGGCGCTGGGACGACTCGGCCATCAGCGGCCAAATCGGGGCGCCGAGCCTCCAGGCGGCCGTTGATGCGCCAAGCAACACTTCGCTCCAGGGCCTCCTCTCCGAGACGATCTACTGCAACCCCTACCTGCAGCAGATGTGCCCCCCAGGCGACGTGGCGTGCCCGCAGTGTGGTTCGGACAGGTGCGAGTGCCCCGGCAGTCCAGGTCCGAGCCCCAGCCCAGACACCAAGTGCAGCTGGGAGGAGCACCGGAACAGCGACGGCAACAATTTGCTGCAAGCTCCCTGGTCCCAGGACCCGCAGGCGTGCTGCAACCGCTGCGGCGAGCAGTCGGGGTGCGCGGCGTGGACCTTCATTCAGGGCAGCCACGAGTGCTGGTTGAAGAGCTGGGTGCCGTCTAGGGACCAGTGGCGCTGGGACGACTCGGCCATCAGCGGCCAAATCGGGGCGCCGAGCCTCCAGGCGGCCGTTGATGCGCCAAGCAACAGCTCGCTCCAGGGCCTCCTCTCCGAGACGATCTACTGCAACCCCTACCTGCAGCAGATGTGCCCCCCAGGCGACGTGGCGTGCCCGCACTGTGGTTCGGACAGGTGCGAGTGCCCCGGCAGCCCAGGTCCGAGCCCCAGCCCAGACACCAAGTGCAGCTGGGAGGAGCACAGGAACAGCGACGGCAACAATTTGCTGCAAGCTCCCTGGTCCCTGGACCCGCAGGCGTGCTGCAACCACTGCGGCGGGCAGTCGGGGTGCGCGGCGTGGACCTTCATTCAGGGCAGCCACGAGTGCTGGTTGAAGAGCTGGGTGCCGTCTAGGGACCAGTGGCGCTGGGACGACTCGGCCATCAGCGGCATACTGGGAGGTCGGTGAGCTTCTGCAGTTTGGGTGTGGCTTGCGCACGCACAATACTGCAACCGTGCTGGTTCATCTGGTCCGACACCGTCTGTTGGCGTGCCAGGCTTGCCAGTGCCAATAGAGCGCTGGAAGTACAGTGTGCATGGTTGAGGAGGCGCTCCGCTGTCTGCGCCCCCCCTCGTTGAAAGTTCCGGTTGCCTTTGGCACGTCTTGCCATATCGCGCCACATCGCGTTGACATTGCCATCATCCCATCCAGGACATATGTTCAGGTTTGTGGAGAGACTTCAAGTTGATGACCACATGGAGGAGCGAAGGGGTCAACAATCGTCAATTGACGCGTCGCGTATCCCCATTCGCCCAGACAGCAGCGATGTCCAGGCGAGTCGCCTTGACCAGGGAGGCGTAGAAGCATGCAGTGCAAGAAAGAAGGAGAAGAAGCCGTCAAAACGAATTTTTGGATCAGCCTGAGCATACCCATGAGTGCACCTAATATGTGTTCGCGGGCCTGTCGAACGAGGGGAAGCAGGGGGACAAGGATAAGGATAACAATACTAATAATCATGGTGATGATGATGATGATGATGATGATGATGATGATGATGATGATGCTGATGATGATGATGATGATGACGATGATGATGATGATGGTGGTGGTGGTGGTGGTGGTGGTGGTGGTGATGATGATGATGATGATGCTGATGCTGATGATACTGATGATGACGATGCAGATTCCAATGATACTGCTGCTAATGATGATGCTGATAGTGAGTATGATGATGAAGATGGTAATGGCGATGGCAATGGCGATGGCAATGGTGATGATGATGCTGATTTTGACGGTGATGATGATGACGACAACGATGATGATGACGATGATGGTAAACATGATGACTAGGACCAGGATGATGAGAATGATGATGATGATGATGATGATGATGATGATGATGATGATGATGATGATGATGATGATGGTGGGGAAGGCGATTGTTCGGATGATGAGGACGATGATCATGATGATGCTGATGCTGTTGTTGCTTCTCATGGTGATGCTGCTGATTGATGATGGTGATTCTGATGCTGCTGATGATGCTGATGATGGTATCGTCCACGATGGTGCTGAAGATGCTGCTGCAGATGATGTTGATCATGATGACGACGGCGATGGTGATGATGATGGCGATGCTGATCATGATGATGGCTATGGCTATGTTGATGATGCGGATTATGGTAAAGACGGTGACGGTGATGATGAGGTTTCTGATGATGCTGATGATGGTGTTGGTGACCCTGATGAGAATGATGATGGTGATCATGACGATAATGGTGTTAAGGAAGAGGAAGAGGAATAGGAAGATAATACGGAACGAGGATGAGAAGGATGAACAAGAAAAACCAGGATGGAAAAAGGATCAGGAGGATGAGGAGGACGAGCGGACGGAATATGAGTTTGACATAAAACGCCACCCACTGAATTTATTTTGACTCTTAGGTGGGAGGAGGAGGAGGAGGAGGAGGAGGAGAGAAAAACGAGGAGGAGGAGGAGGAGAAACCTGTTGGAGGAGGAGGAGGAAAAAGGAGGAGAAGGAGGGGGAGTTTGAAGACGATGATCCGAGAGGAAAAAGGCGACGGCGACGACAACGACGATTCAACCAGAAAAGGCCTTCGCTGATGCAGACCTGTCGTCCTGTTAGCCTCTTGGAGCCCTCTTGGGGCCCTCTGTGGGCTATTTCGAGGTCCGTTGAGGCCTTCTTGTGGCTCTCTTGGGGCCGTCTTGGGACCAGCTTGGAAACCATCGATCAAAAAAGGAAAGGTCCTTGTGAACCCTGCCCCCCTGGAGCGCCAACATATCCGCGTGAAGCGGGAGAACATGAAGACATGGAGGAGAAGGCCTCTCAGGGGCTCTCTGGGGGTTTCCCGGGGACCTGCTACGGGCCTCCTTGGGCCTTTTGAGGGCCTGTTTTAGGGGGGCTCTTGGCGCGTGTGACGCCGTCGGAGGCCGTCTTGGGGGCCTCTCTGGGCCCTCTTGATGCCCTCTTGGGGCGCTTAAGGCCGTCTTGGGGCCCTCATGCGAGACTCTTGGGCGATCTTGGGGTCCTGTTGGGCCGACTTGGGGCCCTCTTTGGGGGCTTCATGGGCTGTTTTGGAGCTATATTGGAGGCATCTTGGGCCGGCTTGGATGGTCGGAAACCCAGAGGCGAGAATGTCAACATCATTGAACAATCGAACGGCAATCAATGCTTGTTGCCTCCTCGGGGGCCTCTTGGAGCCTCTGGGGGACGACGTTTTGGGGGAGTATTTTGGGGCCTCTGGCGTCAGGGCCACCGCAGGCGCACCGCCGTCGACGAAGACAAAGAAAAAACGCAAGGGACAGGCAAAAGGGGGAGGAGGACCAGGAGGCCTAAAGGGCACCATAGGACATCGGACGCGGCGGTGGCGGACTCGAAAGCGAGCTGAGGGACGTAAGGAGTGGAAGCGAGCGTGCGCCCGCGACCGCGTCGGCTCAAGCGGCCGGCCGCCCAAATTTGAGTGTGCTTCACCGCGAGGCACACAATCGTTATTGAGACCAAAAGGATCGTCCTATTGCTTGAGATGGCATCTCCTCTCATACAGGGACTATCGTTACTACGGTACAACAGAGCAGGAGTTTGGCTTCGCCTGAGGCGAAGCTGTTGGCTGGGCCTTCCAGCCCCCTTTCAAACATGGTAGCGGAGCTGGCCTATGGTGGTCAGCTCTGACTCTAGTCCTCACCATCCACGGCGCTATCTGGTGGACTACGGATATGGTGGAACATCAGGGTGCAGTGGGATTGCGCGGAGGAGTGTACATAACTACGCAGTACCGCAAGGAAAGTTGCAGCGATACCTCTGTCCCAGCGGATGTCCCTTACTCACATCTTATATCCCTGCGCTATTTCACTCCTGAAGTCCACCCACCTACTCCGATTGGAAATTTCTTCGAAGATCTAATGCATGGAAACATGCGATACGATATACTGCCGCGTCCGAACCCACGCAGACTTACGACTACAAAGCAGAAGTCCCCACCGACTACACCCGACTACGATCAACGAGGCCGCTGGATTGGGGTTACTATCTTTGGGCTCATATGTTTTGCTATTTGGTGTGCGGTAGGACATGCGGGGCGGAGACGACACTAGAACGACTGGCCGCCATTGAGACCCTGCCGGTCAAGTACCATTTCGCGAGTTCGTCCGCGAAGTACATGCCTGGATCAATGTGACCACAGGCAACATGACGCCCTCCCAGCAGGCCGCCGCATTGCAGCGCGATTTGGGAGGTCTCGCGCGGACCATAGCCATGAGCGCCCCCCCAACAGTCATTAATTTTGGCGTCAATATAGGCGGTCGCCGCACTGACGGCGTCACCTACATTATGTTCCTCTTAAGTACGAAGTCCGAGAACCTAGAAGTGGAACGCCAACTCAACTCTGGCACGGCTCTCATTGACTTTCGAGTCCATGCGGTTTACGTACCGACCAGACGTTAGCACGGCTCGCAATAGCCCGCTACGAAGCTGAAACCGCTGGCTTCAACATCCCCAACTTCCAAATTTTAACATGTATTCTATTCAGAGCTCTTGGAGTGGGGACGTCGCGTGCGCAGAGACTCCTGCAGCCTCTGAGCCACTGCGCGCCGAGGGACCAACCACAATTTGACGCTCTACTTGAACGTATGAGGTCATATGCTCACATAGCTGAGAGGACCCCTGGCAATATTGGCGGTATCTTTAGCCGCGGTCACCGAACCGAGACTTTCCACGCAGAGGCCAACGCAGGGCAACCTGCCAACAACGTCTGGAATGACGATACACAGCCAACTCAGACCACTACACTGTTGGCTCAGAATGGTGGAACGGCTCCGGGGTCGCAAGTCCCCTGAGCCAGATCTGGGGGGCCGCTCGACTCGGCTTCTCCTATGCAAGCTATGACTCTAATGGGCTCAGCGGGGCGACCCGCCGAGTCCGACTGCGACTCCGGTGCCGATGCGGATGCGTTTCTTTTTTTTTTTTTTCCTTTTTTCTCTCTTTTTTTTTTTTTTTTTTTTTTTTCTTTTTTTTTTTTTTTTTTTTTTTTTTTTTTTTTTTTTTCTTTTTTTTTTGTTTTTTTTTTTTTTTTTTTTTTTTTTTTTTTTTTATCTTTTTTCTTTCTTTTTTTTTTTTTTTTTTTTTTTTTTTTTTTTCCTTTTTTTTTTTTGTTTTTTTTTTTTTTTTTTTTTTTTTTTTTTTTTCTTTTTTTTTTTTTTTTTTTCTTTTTCTTTTTTTTTTTTTTTTCCGATGATGAAGTTACCGCCTGGGATTTTCTGCTATGCCTACATGCCTTACGGAAGAGCAGCAAGCCCAATGTTTATGTTTGGGCTATCAAAAACACAGGCGTCGTTGGGGGAGGTTCATGAAGAAACCAGTCCGAAATGGTAAGACGTATTGTACGACGGTCACTTAAAGGAAAAGGCAAGGGTCGAAGTGAAGGTAAAGGTAAGCGTCGGCGACTACATGGTCGAGGCGCACTAGCATTCCTAGCGTCTCTCATTGGGCCTCAGCATGAGGAAATGTTTTTAGGTACTGGCAGAGACCGCAGGCATGCATCGGGCAAAGGTAAAGGACGACGAGGAAACCCAAATGATGCCAACGTTAAAACCATGGAGCGCGACATATGTCACAGCGCACAACATTTCCGACTCGAGTGCCCCCAAGGTGATGGAAGAGGCAGGGGTCCGTCAGTGCATCTGGCTCAACCGGACTCCGACATACCGTAGGTTGATTGGGAGTCGCTTCTAGCCGACTTTGCCGACGGGTCAGCCATGCTTGTTCATTTCATGTCTGCCAGGTATCTAAGTGCCAGCATGACCATCGAGAAATGCGCCGATGAGCTGTTCGAGGATGTGTTCACTGGACACGGCGACGTCGACTTGGCAGAGTGGCTGGGTGTACCCATCGCGGGGCAGCCTGCAGATATTGAGTTTGTCGAGGACTTCCAGATGCCCGCGAAGGTGATTTT